ATCTAGTCCTTTGACTATTAAATTTTAGGATTTTTGGAAATAGATTAGCAAGGAAACTTGGATTAGTTCTTCAATTAATCCCCGATTAGTGTTTGGATTTACGGGGTGTCACACATAAAATATCTACAACCTCCCATAGACTGGAATTTAGTCGATCCCCATAAATCGGAATGTATATATTCCAATACATCTTTGGTACGGTGTGTAGTAGTAGAGAAACTAACCCTCTTTTGTTTCCCAAAAGCACAATGCTCACAAAATTGTAATTTACCCGTACCTGAATCACCTATGAGACCTTTCTTGCTCCGGCTATGCATGTCTTTCTCACTCATATGCCCTAGACGCATATGCCATAGTTGAGTGAGATCCGCATCATACATCGATGAGGATACTGCTACTGAACCTGTCACAGTACTGCCATGCAACACGTACAAGCTTCTAGAACGGGAAGCTTTCATGAGAACAAAAGAGCCTTTTATGACCTTCAGAACTCCACCTTCAGCTATGTACTTGCACCCCAGAGATTCCAAGGTGCCCAAGGATATCAGATTGCGTTTCAAATCAGGAATATATCAAACATTGGTAAGAGTCCTGATAATGTTATAATGAGTTTTAATATGCACGCTTCCAATTCCACTAACCTTGCATTGGGTATCATTACCCAGCAAGACACGCCACTACTAACCGGTTCCAAAGAGACGGACCAATCTTTGTGAGGACACATGTGGAATGTACAACCAGAGTCCAAAATTCACTCGGTTTCACTTCGTTTGTTACCGGAGCTAACAGATAACATAACATCGCCTTTTGAATCACTTTCAACAACACTAGCTTCAGCGGACTTCTTTACTCTCTCTTACTTGTTCTTCAACTTGAAGCATTCAGTCACATCATGACCGTGCTTCTTGCAGTACTTACAGGATTTGTTGGAATTACGTCCTTTGGACTTGGATCTAGATTTTTTTTTTTTTTTGCTACTCTTTGTTTGAAGTAAATGACCCCTTACAGTCAAACCTTCACCTTTGTCCTCAGACTTAATTTGTAAGTCAAACATTTCTTTGGACAATAGGTTTGACTTAACACTGTCAAAAGTAAGGGCATCACTACTATTACCATACAGCATAATTTCTTTGAAATGCTTGTATGATTTAGGGAGAGAGACAATCAATAAAACAGCACGATCCTCATCTTCAAATACAACATCAATATTCTCCAAGTCCAATAAAATAGAATTGAATTCATCCAAGTGAGATTTAATAGAAGTACATTCTGTCATACGAATTATGTACAAACGCTCCTTCCGGCGCAGCGTGTTCGCAAGAGATTTGGTCATGTAAAGAGAATCTAGCTCGGACCATAAATCTAACGCAGTCGTCTCACTTACCACCTCACGCAGAACCTCTTTAAACAAGCACAATTGAATGGTTGAACGTGCCTGGTCATCCAAATCTTCCTAATCTTCATCTGTCATTGTAGCTAGTTTCTTCTTCTTCCCAGCTAGAGCTTTCTTCAAACCGTTCTAGGTTAGAACGGCTTCCATCTGAATCTTCCAGATAGAAAAGCTAATTGGTGGTCATTGGTGCACGTCACGAGTAGTAGTTGGATAGGGGGCTGCCAAGTGAGCGTGATTTGCATTGTTTCGTGGATGTATCGGTGTCCCGGGCTATAGAGAGGCGAGATTTGGTGGCGTGCAGTACAGTGCTGATAGGGAGTTTGAAGCGGTAACTTGCAGTCCAATCTTGTGCAATGGTGATCTAGTTGCAGGAGATGTGTGGGCTTGCAAGGAGGCACTCTCGTGGCTTAAAGGAAAAGGTATTGAGAATGTCCATGTCTTGTTTGATTGTGTCAATTTGTGTAATGTCCTGCGTGGGGAACAATCTTGTTGGTATTATGTTGGTTTCTTAGTCCATTAGTGTAGTATGTTACTTTATTCGTTTAATTTTGTGTCATGCTTTTATGTTAATTGTTTGTTTAATATTGTTTTCCATATTTTAACTAAAAGGGGTGCTAGGAAGATTGTCAGTCTTAGAATGGTATACCGCTTGAGTCTATTGTTAATTTGTGTTATATATCTAACAATTTGTTTCCCATTATGGTTTATTGAAGCTATTGTTTTGATTAAAAAACTAATTGAGGCATATCTTCAAGGAACAAAATATAGTTGTTTTTATCTTTGAGTTAAAAATGTTTTTATATATGGTAATGAAGTAGGCTTTTCTTTTGAGGTGTTTCACTCCTTGATGATTAAAAAAAAAACAAATTAAAATGATTATTATTTCTTTTGAAACAATATATAAATAATTGTGTAAAAATAAATATTTAAAAAATTATAGCTTTATTTACCCTTAAAACAATCAAAATGTAAAAATAAATCTTATCATTACAATATCTTCTTCCTCCAAAAGGTTGAATCCCCAACCTTGGCTCATCACACCTGACCCTGTAAATCACGGCAACTCAGTAACTTAGCTTAAGGGCAAAATGCTTGGTGCACACAAGAGATCTGTCAACTTTAGGCATAATACCACACTGCCGCTGCCGAGATTCATATCTCGGTCTCTTATCCCAATTTCTATCTACTAAACCAGTAAGTTAAACTCGTTATTATTAGTTTATTACATTTCATATCAATAACAGTTGAAAGAAGTTACTATGTTTCTTTTTTGGTAATTAATTAATTTAATTTTTTTGGCAATATTACATTTAAAAACGATTATAAACGCAAAATATGTTCAAATTTAAGATTGGTTACAACAAGTATTAAATTTGGGTAAAAGATTTTTGGGTAATCCTTTGATTTTTCAATTGGATGCGTTGAAGAGTTAACATTTCACTAAAGGGCTCCCGGAACTAGTTTGATCTTCAAGGAAGTGGTTGTATGTATAGTTTGTTATTTCTTTGAAGGTCTCCCAAACTCAAATGACTTAATCTTTAATAGAGGGTTGAATCAACATGCTGGACATGATCCTCATGGAGGGGATTTTATATTATATTCTCATTTGATCTTGTCCTATACATGTGTGTATGATCAAATGAAAACAATGTCCTCTTACAAAAAGTGATGATTGATCGATCTTAACCGTCAGTTATTGTTAGATATATTAAATATAATATATTTAATATAATATATATTAAATATAATATAATATATCTATAATATATATATAATATATATTTGAGAAGAGAGAGAGAGAAGGAGAATTGAATTCACTTGATTGATGTTTGAAAAAGATTGATACACAGCCTTTTTATAGTAAAGGAGAAATAATAATAAAACTAAAAATTAGGAATGTATGCTCCATGTACTCCACATACACTAAGCCACATACTGCATACACACCACCCACTACTTAATTTAATTAACAAACTAATTAACTCTTGGTTTAACAATTATAATAATAATATTATTATAACATTGCCTCCTTTAAACCAAGTTGGATATATTGGTCATCCCAATTTCCTTCTTCAATTTAAGAAATGTCTTCGTCTTCAAGTTGGATATACTGACTTGTATTTCGTTCTGTAAACCCACTTTACTCCAATTGGCTTCTTCCCAAGAGGTAAATCTGTTAACTCCCAGGTACCATTCTTTTCAATGGCACGTATCTCCTCATCCATCGCCTTAAGCCAATGAATTTCTGTAGCAGCCTCCTCAACGGATAAAGGGTCACAATCTGCAAAAAGAGCAAATTGAATAATCTCTTCATCCGACAAGTCATTATCATGACCCAAAACATAATCTTGCAAGCGAGCTGGTAAGTGGCGCTCGCGCTGAGATCGCCGAACTGACGATTCTGGCTGTGAAGGAGACTGGACATTATCTGGAATTGGTTGCTCTTCAACAATATTTTCAACAGCAGGAATAACAACTGAACTTTCATCTTTAGCTAACCAATCCCAGGCACCATATTCATCAAAAGTGACATCACGACTTATAACAACCTTTTTAGTTTCAGGATTGTAGAGTTTATAAGCCTTTGAAGCGTCACTATAACCAATGAATATGCACTTCTCACCTTTATCATCCAACTTCTTTCTCAACGGATTTGGCACATGTGCATATGCCAAACATCCAAAAACCTTGAGATATTTGATAGAGGGTTTTCTCCCACTCCAAGCTTCTTCGGGCGTCTTATCACGGACACTTTTAGTTGGACACCTATTCAACACATAGACAGCACAAGCAACAGCTTCTGCCCAAAAAGGTTTAGGCAGATCCTTGGATTTCAACATGCACCTCACCATATCCATGATAGACCTATTCTTCCTCTCAGCCACTCCGTTTTGTTGCGGAGTGTATCTGGCTGTCATTTGGTGCTGAATACCCTTTTCCTTCAGAAAATTATCACAAGCAATATATTCTGTACCTCTATCAGTTCTCAAGATTTTAACTTCATAACCACTTTGCTTTTCAACAAAAGCCTTAAATTGTTTGAAAATATCACATGCTTCAGACTTTTGCTTCAGAAAGTAAACCCATGTTTTCCTACTGAAATCATCAATGAAAGTAATAAAGTACTTACAACCTCCATGTGAGGGAACCTCCAACGAACACAGGTCTGAGTGAACAATCTCCAACTGTTTTGTAGCTCTCCTTGACTTGCCCACGGGAAAGGGATCTCTATGCTTCTTCCCAATCACACAAATCTCACATATACGATCAGGGACATTCACAACAGGTAAATCAGAAACAAGTTCCTTTCTCGCAAGATAGTGTAATCCAGAAAAATGAAAATGCCCAAACCGCATATGCCATAACCAATTATCATCACAAACTTCAGAATTAAAGCAAGCAAGGAGAGTATGCTTAATTTTCAAAGGAAATAGTCGATTTTGAGACATATTTACCTTTGCAATCAAAACTCCTTTAGCATCTTCAATGGTACAACACCCCTGAGCAATATGTATCTTATATCCTTTTTCTGACAACTGACCCAAACTCAACAAATTTTGGTGTACTTCAGGAACATAGAACACATCGGATATAAAATTGTGAGTACCATCCTTCAACTGAATAGAGATTTTACCTTTTCCCAAAATTGGCACTTTTGACTTATTGCCAAATGTCACTTCAGACCGGACTGATTCATCCAGTTCAGAAAACAATTCTTTCTTCCCACACATATGGTTACTACACCCAGTATCCAAGAACCATATGTTCTTATCTGCAGAAAAACTATCGCTGGCTAAAAGTAAAGTTTCAGAACTCTCACCAGACTTTTCAGCAGTGTTTTCAGCAATGTTTGCTTGATTTCCACGATTGTTGTCCTCATTATACCAACAATCTGCAATCTTGTGCCCATACTTGCCACAATTGTAGCAATGAAATGGAAATTTACCTTGTTTGGTATTACCTCCACCTCTTCCTTGGTTGGAGTTACCACGTCCTCCTCCTTGGTTGAAGTTACCACGACCTCTTCCACTAGAACCTCCTCTTCCTCTTCCACGACCTCTACCAGATCCTCCACCTCTTTGATTAGTGCCAGTCACATTAAGGGTGACTTGACTCTTCAAAGATTCTTCTACTAGTGGTTCTGATTTTGACGCAATCCTGTCAATATGACTTTCTACCATACCTTTCAGCTCTGCAATTGACAAGAGCTCGGTTTTGTGTGACTCTGTGATCGAAGCCACCACATGGTCATACATCATCGGCATAGTTCGAAGAACTTTTTCAACCACTGCACCATCTTCAATCGTATCTCCATATAGCCTCATTTTATTCACCATATCAATAAGACGAGTGAAATACGCATCTACTGTTTCTGTAGAGGTCATCTCACAATTATCGTACAACCTTCTCAACGACTGCAACTTAGACTTCTGTGCCCGATCAACTCCTTTGTGTGACACCTTTAAGATGTCCCAAGCTTGTTTTGCTGTTTGAGCACGAGCTAATTGCCCAAAAATGGAATAATGAACACCTTGGTGAATCTGACCCAAGGCCAATTTATCTCGCCGTATAGCACCAGCATCAGCTCCTTCGGGTAGACCGGGATCAACAAAGCTCCAAAGATTTTGAGCTTGCAAATGTGTGGACATCATAATTTGCCAATAATTGTAATCGAGTTTCCCGTCCAATTTGGGACCCGTCCATACAATATTGAAATTTGCAGCCATATTTCACTACGAAAAATATCTCGGGGTTGAAAGGTTGACTGGCTCTGATACCAAATGTTAGATATATTAAATATAATATATTTAATATAATATATATTAAATATAATATAATATATCTATAATATATATATAATATATATTTGAGAAGAGAGAGAGAGAAGGAGAATTGAATTCACTTGATTGATGTTTGAAAAAGATTGATACACAGCCTTTTTATAGTAAAGGAGAAATAATAATAAAGCTAAAAATTAGGAATGTATGCTCCATGTACTCCACATACACTAAGCCACATACTGCATACACACCACCCACTACTTAATTTAATTAACAAACTAATTAACTCTTGGTTTAACAATAAACTAATTAGCTCTGATACCAAATGTTAGATATATTAAATATAATATATTTAATATATATTATATTATATTTAATATATCTAACAGTTATGATTCATTAATGATTGATGATTTTAGTAAAAAGAATATGTAAGACAATTTTATAATAATTGAAACTTTTAAGAGCGGAGTTTATTGGAATAAGGGTCAAATAGACCATCCAATTACACACCAAAATGCAATTAGGTCATTGAACAATCGTTATACTTTGTACCACAGCGCACACAGCACTGTGCACCCCACGCCTCTCAAAAAGACGTCGTTTTGTTAAGTGTGTAGGAAGTTGACGCGATTATGTACATTATGCCATTATGGTATACAATTATGTACATTTGCTTATATAATTATGTACATTTTTTGTATACAATTATGTACATCCGAAACAAGAAATATTATGTGTATTATGTTTAAAATTTATGTGTATTATGTTAAAAGTTTATGTGTATTATGTATTATGTTAGATTATGTGTATTATTTTTTCAAAAAAAGTGTATATTTTTTTATACAATTTTGTGCATTTTAGTATATAATTATGTATATTTTTGAAACATGAGATTATTTTTAAGAAAATTAACAATCGACACAGGAAAGCGGAATTTAAAAAAAAAACAATTCCAAAACGACGTCGTTTTGCACTAGGGCGCGAATGCAATGCGCGCCCTGGTGCATGATATAAATTGCCGCTATTGAACTAAAAAAAATTACAATTGGATCTCTGAACAACACAAATTCTTGTCATTTTACCTAAAATGATTTGTTTACCTCTTAATATGCTGACGTGTCGGTTTCTTTAATTAAAAATAAATTTTTATATTTTATTTTAGTAATTTTTAATTAAATAATTATTTTAAAATTAAAAAAAAAAAATAGTTAGAGACCCCTTCGTCTCCGACCAGCCATGGAGAACCCTTCATCTCCATGGCTGGAAGGAGGCGGTCAACCATGGAGACGAAAGGCTCTCCAAGACTGGCCGGAGACGGAAGGGGTCTCCGACTGTTTTTTTTTTTTTTTAAATAATTATTTAATTAAAATTATTAAAATAAAATTTTAAAAATTATTTTTAAATAAAGAAATCTACACGTCAGCATATTAAGAGGTAAACAAGTTATTTTAGGTTAAATTGCAAGAATTTGTGTTGTTTAGAGATCCAATTGTAATTCTTTTGAATTTAGTAACTTAATTAAATTTTGGTGTGTAGTTGAATGACCTATTTAATATTTATTTTAAATTTATTTTATAATTACTGAAAAGTTGAAAATTTTGTAATAATAACGTTATAACGTTCTCAAGATAAGAAGTGTGATGTGTCACACACTCACGCAAAGTTTTATCTTTCACCCTCCCTAAATCCCTAATATATATGTTACTCCAACATACTAGGAATATGAATTTATGCGTTACATAGATTGGCTGCTATCTCACCATTACGTTAATTCTTAAATTCTTAAATCCCTAGAAATCCATAGCGACAAGAGGATTAAAGGGGAGAACAAGATATAAAGTAAAACAAAAATCAATCCACCATTTACAGTCGGTACTTTCCCAATATCTCTCTTTAATTTCTGTCCGTTTCTCTTATCAAGTTCTTCAATTGATGAATGCTGATACAAATTTGATTCCTCGGTCGCTGAATTCGATCATATCTGCTGTTTCGGCGTTTAATTTATGTTTCGCGTGGTTTTTGGATAAACCCTAAATTTTCGTGCTGCTGTGACCTGCGTTTGAATATGAGTTGAAGTGGTATGATTGGTGGGTTATGTGTGCTTTTGTATTTCAATTTGAGTTTTGTCGCTCCAGCTCCGTGAATTTCTCCCACAACTTTCGTTCTTGTTATGCTTGAGCACAATTAATTATTTTGAAAGATACACTGACTGGCGCCTACGTTTTGCTGTTTCATGTTTGATTCCTGGATTCTGCTTTGTTTATCATCAAAATTTGCGTAAAAATTGTACCTTTATTTTAAGCCGGTTGGGTAAGGTGGCTTTTTATTGTACCTTTATGTATGTTATCTTGACTAGTTTCAACTTGATAAATGGAATGCTAGAGAACTATAGTGTATAAACTAATGAATGATTATTAGCAAAGGGGTTTTTTTAGGAGCAGCTTTAGGGTGGTAGCCTTCCATTTCCATTTGGCAAATGAGGGTCAGTTTGTATTATTGTGCGGTAATAATTGTCATTCTAAATTTAGTTGCTGTTGTTTCCACAGATTACTTTTGCTGAAACTACCAATTTGCTGTTTTTGTTAGGTACATGATCTGTTAGTGTTGAGTTTATAATGTCCGGGAAGTCTAGGTTTGAAGCACCTGCTAGCCCGGACTCGGGTTTTGCAGGCAACTTCAGCAATGGGCAGAGAGGCAATTATTCTGGTTCCACTGGTGGTGCTGACAGCCGGATGTTTGGCTATGGGAAGGTTACATCTCGTATCAGTGGTGCGGGAACTGGGGAGATGCCTCCGCTGTCACAATGTCTGACATTGGATCAAATTAAGATGGGTGATCAAAAATATCCACGGTCAGGTGAATTAAGGAGGGTTCTTGGAATTTCAGTTGGGAGCACCTTAGAAGATAATGCTTTTGGTGCTACGCATTTGAAGACTTCTCCTCCTGTGTCTACAGAGGAGGTAAAACGCTTAAGAGCTAATCTTGCAGATACATGTGGTAAAGCTAGGTATCCTCCTTCTCCATCCTCCAGGCTCCAACAACCCCCCATGTATCCTTGTCAGTGGGTCTTTTATTTTACTCATTGAGATGATTATCTTATTTGTCCCTTTTGTAATTAAGATACTTCTCAAGGGTTGGAACAAGGTGGTGTGACTGGTGTCATTTAATCAGTTTGTTATTCTCACTTATAAGAAAAGCTCAATCTGTTATTCTGTTTATCTATGTCCTCTGAGACCTAGGATTTCTGCTTGGGGCATTGGCAGACAATCAGTTCAAATAGAGAGATTTGATTTGTGTAACGGACAAGGTTTCAAAAGCGCTAGGCACCAGTTTTTTTTTTTTTTTTTTTTTTTTAATAAATTTTTTTAAAGATTTGATAATTAGAAACTATTTAATACTTTAATAGTTAATACTAAAATATTAAATATTAACCTAAAAAACATCTAGAATTGTAAATTGTACTATAAAGATTTAAAAAATCAAAACACAACTTCACTGTCACAACTCACAGTATCAATATTAGAGTAGCTGATTTTGAATTTTCTTTACATTTGTTGGGTTTGCGACCGATTTGAACGATTTAGGCTTATTTCGCTCAAAATGATGTCGTTTTGAGCGAAATAACCTTTTTTTTTTTTTTTTTTAAAGGAACAATAGCTAATCCACCGCGGCCTAGTCGACTCCTAAGCGGCCGGGCGCCTAGAACAATGATAGGGTGAAATTCTAGGCGGCCGATCGGCGCCTAGAACCTAGGCGCGATTTTTTTAACAGTGGTAACGGATTATATATTGTCTTTTGTGTGCTTAATATATTGGTTTAAAATTTGTGCTTGGTGTGTTAGGTAGATCTTTGATAATTTTTAGAAACATGATATTTGATTTACTTACCTTCTGGGTCATATAGTATTTAGTTTTGTTTGCTTAATATATTGAGTTCTCATCTTCTTTTCTTTTTGTTTTTGTTTTGTTTTTTTTTTTTTTTTTTTTTTTTAACAGTGGCAGAGCAAAAAAGTTTGACGAGCTCTTGCATAAATTGAATAAATTTGGTGAAGTCACAAAGAAGCAGCTACGTAATGAGGCATTGACAAATGAAAGATCAGGTAGTTCGAATTTAAAGATGGGAACTCAGGTTCATAGAGGCCTTTCAGATCAAGCGACTCTGAAGACAGAGGATCGCACTAAAAATGTTAATCTAAATAAGCGTGTTCGCACATCAGTGGCAGAAACTCGGGTTTGTAATTAATATACAGCAATTTGAGTTTTTTGAATTTGTAGCAACTACTATCCTTAAACTTTCACTCTCTTTATTCAACAAACAAAGCAAAAGAAGACTTTTATGCTTAAGTTATATCTATTGTTTACTTTCCCCCTTCATGGAGATGACAAAAAGATGGTTTTTCTTTTTCTTTCCTTTTTTAAAATTGATTTTTTGGGATGAAAATAGAAGTGTAGAACTTGTTGCAGAGGTGATGCTTGGGTGGAAATAATGCTGTTATGTGGATTGTTTAAATTACTGTAATTATTCTTGCCATTACATGTCTCTAAAGGTATTGTTTGATTTATAATAAAGCTTTAGCAGTTTAGCACTTTACCTTAACTACCAGCCTGTATCTCATTTCGTGTTTCTCTACTAGCCAAGTTGCGAACTGCATACATGTTTCGAAATGTGGATTTTCTGCTTAGTGATTACTGTTACACATGTGAATTCTTTTCATGGCTCATTTTCTTCCTCCTAATTCCCTTTCTTCTTTTTAACCTGTACTGGACACATTTTAGCAACCAAAGTGTTATTCTCGAGTTATTAATTTGTTGTTATTTTACTTATATTAATGCATGTTGTACTGCTTTTTCCTCTTTGCTTGGCTAACAAAATATCTCTTTGTACCCAAAAAAGAAAAACTGAAGCAGAATTCCTGATTCCTATATCAACCACACACAAAATTTTTCCTTGTTGTTTTTGTCATCTTTATTGAAATAAATTATGAATTTCCTTTTTGTGTTATCCTTCAGTCTGAATTCCGGGGCAATGGTCAACCCAGGCAGCCGTTACTAATGACAAAAGACCGAGATAAAGTAAAACAAAGTAATGCATCAACTGATACGGCTGAAGAAAAGATTCGCAGATTGCCAGCAGGAGGTGAAGGCTGGGACAAAAAAATGAAAAGGAAACGCTCAGTTGGTTCTGTCACTTCAAGACCCAGTGATAATGATGGCGAACCGAAACGAAATGTGCATCATAAATTTAACAGTGAACTGGGGTTATCATCTTGTGATCCACATAGTTTGAGGTAATCACTTTGATGCTATAAAGGAGTTATTGGATATTTGGATGACAATAGTCACAATACTTGTCTCTTCAATTTCATACTACATTTTAGAAATGTTTCAAATATTTCTACTTAAATATGGAAAAAGTGGTTCAGATTATTTTGAAAGAGTCTGGCATCTGGCATTGATGCTACCATTTAAAATTTCCTGCTACAAGTGTAAAAGTGTGCGTTAAAAGATAAACTTGGACATCAATAATCACAATCTTTTAACAGAAAATTATCTTTCAATTGATTAACATGCATATTGTATTTAAATTAGTAATAATGATAATACTTAATAATGTTTTGTTCAATTTTTTTTTTTTTAAATGATCAATTTTAACGATGGTAAACTGAGAATTGAATCTGTTGTCTGAGAGTCTAGTTTGTTTTGCCATTCTGGTTTTTACTTTATCATTGGTATGGTGTTAACCTAATATGGTTTCCTTCTCATTGGCAGATCAGGAACATTTGGTGGTGCTGGTGGCAATAGCAAGTTGGAGGGTACTTTGTCTACTACTAGTGCTCGTGCCACACTGAAAAATGAACGAGAAAAATCTCCTCTCTCTAGGGGTTTTACTGCTGGGTTAAATAAGGAGAAAGCTTTAGCAAAAGGAAGCATTAAGTATGTATTTGGTCGCTCTAGATCTCTAATGGGTCATATTTTCAGCATGGCTTACATAACTTGCCTTATGTGTGTGTGTTGTGTTTTTTTTTAACCTTACTTTCATGGATTCTGGTTTTAATCTTCAGTTTATCAGTGTGGCTCACTGCTTCTCTTTCTGCTCCACTTGTAGACTCAATAGTTGTGAGGAGAGTCATGCTGCCAGTCCCAGTCCAATAACAAAAGGAAAGGCATCAAGGGCATCACGAAGTGGTTTGGTGGTTGGAAATAATTCATCCCCTACTATTCCTCGTATACCTGGAACTTTGGAGAGCTGGGATCAGCCATCTAATCTAAATAAAAGCCTTTGTATAGGTGGGGCCAATAATCGCAAGCGCCCATTGCCTGCAGGGTCCTCCTCACCACCCATAACTCAATGGATTGGACAGAGGCCTCAAAAAATTTCTCGGACAAGGAGGGTTAATCTTGTATCTCCAGTTTCAAACAATGATGAGATGCAAATGTCGTCTGAGGGATGTTCTCCTTCTGATTTTGGTGCTAGATCAACTTATAACACAGTAAATGGTTCTCTTCTATCAAAGGGGGCAACCAGTGGCACCCAAAGTTTCAAAGTCAAACCTGAGAGCGTTTTATCCCCTGGCAGATTATCAGAAAGCGAAGAATCTGGTGTTGGTGAAAACAGATTTAAAGAGAAAGGTACAGTCAATAGTGAGGGAGAGGAAAAAACAGTAAATGGTATTCAGAATACCAGACCTCCTATGGCACATACGAAGAAGAATGAACTTGTCAAAGACAACGTTGGTGATGGTGTACGAAGACAAGGACGCAGTGGAAGAGGTTCGTCATTTGCAAGAGGTGATATTTCTCCTGCTAGGGAGAAGTTGGATAACTTATCTATGCCCAAGCCACTTCGGGGTATGAGGCCTGCTTCTGATAAGAACTGCAGGTGCTGTCTCTTTTCTGTTAACACCAAATATGTTTTTGTATTTATTGATAAAACTTTTAATATACCTTCAATCTTCTTATGACATCATCTTTATTTGTATTGTGGCAGTAAGTCAGGCCGACCTATGAAAAAGCAATCAGAACAGAAAGGGTTTTCTCGTCTTGGGCTTCCAGTGAGTGGTGGTTCCCCAGGTTTCACTGGTATGCTTATAAATTTGTTATTTATCCTGAACACAAAAGATATTTTCAGCTTTTATATTCATACAACTATACAAGACATCCCTCTCTTTTTTGTCCTGCTTACTCCCCTACTCAAATGTTAAAAAAAGAAAGAAATATGTATATAAGAAAAAGAAAATTGAATTCTGTTATGTTGCAGGTTCCTATACTTTACTACTTTGTTCAATTTAGTCCATGCACTTTACATATTGGTATAATTAAGGATGAAAATGGAACACTGTTAGACTGAACTGTTAACTACGCTTATGTGGAAATGAGATAAGCACTTACATTTCCAAGTGTGCTGATGTGGCAATGCCATATGAGCTTTTTTGTATTTTTTAAAATTAAATTAAATGAGAAAATTAAAAAAAGAATGCTGTTGTCAGCTATGGTTTCTGATGGCTTTCTTATGATCATTGAATTTATTTAATTTTTTTAAATATTAAAAAGATTACGTGGCTCAGCATATTTAACTGTGTTAGTTGTACAAGGACCTCATAAGTATCTCATATGAGAGAGAGTGATGGACAGCTTGTGTAAGTTGTGTATGCATTAATATATGATGCAGGAGTCCAGGAGCTCAGACCAATTAGGACTGCGATTTGGTTTTCCGTTTTGGATTAGGATTCTCTTTTTCAATTAGGATGCTTTTTAAAGTTTTCCTTCCAGTTAGAACTCTTGAATTATTTTCCTCTTTCATTGCAACTCCTTTTACATTTTAGATTCGGACTCTAAGGCTTTTATAAACACTTGTTTAGCCTTAACAGTTTTCAAGAGTAGTTTATTAAACAGATTGAACAGCTTGTTGTCTTTTGTGAGGTCCCCATTTGCACATGTGAGCATGTCTTTTGAGTCTAAACTTGTTTTAGGTTTGTTTATCGTCGCTTAACACTGTTTCAATATGCATAATATGATTATATTAGTGTTAGCTTCCAAACTGAAGAAAATTCTGGTATGACATGCAATACTGTCAGGCCACTATGTTGGCTGAAGAGGAAGGCAGCATTAAATCCAATTCTCAATCTTTCTCTGCTCAAACATATAACTTGCACTTGTGTTTTGTTTCAGGGGAATCAGATGATGATCAGGAGGAACTCCTATCAGCTGCAAAGTCTGCTTACAACTTTAATAGTAAGTGTTTTTATGACATACCTCTCTGCACCATCCTTGAATATGGGGTGGAAAATAAGGGAATGAAATGCCAATTTTGTATATGCTGACGACTTTTTGGTTTGTTTCTTGCTTTTGTAGTTCATGCTTGTTCAAGTGTATTCTGGAAGAAAGTGGAATCCTTGTTTACAATGGTCAGTTCAGAAGAGAAGACGTACTTATTAGAGCAGGTGATAACCAGAATAACTAGAAAATTCATAATAACCATAAGATGCCTTCCTTTACTGCATCTGTTTGATAGTTTGTCTGAGCTCTAATCAAGTTTCATTTTGTTTCAATCAGTTGAAATCAGCCAAGGAACTTCATACGGATCTAACTCACATTTCATGCTCCAATAATGGTGTTATGGTATTCCTGGAGACTAATACCTCTTTTTTAAAGCATCAATTAATCGCATAGAAAATTTTCAAACCTTTTTACCTTATTTTTTCATCTCCACTCTGTTACGTCTTTTTAGTTGTGGAGCAACTGAAGAGTTTGTCTTTCCAGTTGTCCTTTCTCTGTTTCTTTTCTAACTCTCATGACAAGATTTTCTACAAGACTTTTATAATTTTTTGGTGTTTTTTTTTTTCAATTAATTCAATTTTGAATGGTACTGATAATTAATGAGCTGGACATACATGTGAAACAATTTATCAACATATTGTTCAAAAAATTGCTTCTGTTGTTGTTTTAACTATACTTTCTTTTTCAGGGTGATAATGTGCAAGATGAGATTTCCGCCTCTGATGTTCTTTCTGATGACCAAGATAGATGCAAGAAGAATTCAATTGAATCAAAAGAATCAGCTAATACATCATATGTTGTAGATAGATTCCAAGAGTCCATGTTATATGCAAATCTAGACTCTGACAGAATACAGAGCGAAGAAACTTCACTTTATCAGAGAGTATTATCAGCTCTCATTGTGGAGGATGACATTGAAGTATACGAGGAAAATGGTTTTGAAAAGGATTCACCTGATGATGCATCCCCTTTTGTTGATTCTGGAAATAAAAACAGGGGAGGGATGGAGTTTGAATGTGAGTCCAGAATATCTGTTCAGTTACAGAAAAATGGAACCACAAACAGATTCGCTCAGTGCAATGGGCATAATTCTTGCAATAGCACACGTGCTCAGGATCCTCCTTGTAGTACAGAAGTGTTGCTTGGTGATAGTGGATATACACATTCAGATGCCAGACTGTTGGTTGACCTTTCTAGATGTAATGACGACTGTCCAGAAAATTCATTGACAAGTAGCTTTGACATTTCCTCCTTTGATCACCAATATGCGCAAATGCCTGTTAATGATAAACTCTTGCTGGAACTGCAAAGTCTCGGCCTTTGTGTAGAAACTGTGGTGTGCTTCTCTTATCATAATGCTTAGTATATATATATTTTGTCTGTGCGTATACATATTCATCTGTACTTGTGTTTGCTTTAACTTGAACTTTTCCTCCCTATTTTGGGGTCTATTTCAGCCTGGTTTAGAGGATAAAGAAGATGACATGATCAACCAAGAAATTATGCAGCTAGAGAGGGGATTGAGTCAACAGGTTATTTCATATCAGACTCAACCTACATCATGTTTTTTAGCTCCACTTTTTACCAAATTATATCAATAACTTAGTTTTTATGCAAAACCCTGTATTCTTCTTCTAAATATGGTGTTTCTTTTGAAGCTATATTTGCACTCAATTTGACATAGAGTGTGCATCTTATTGAATTCTGTATTTTAATGGCTGTAGATTGGTAGAAAGAAGACACGCCTGGATAAAATGGCCAAGACTATGGAAGGCAGAGAAGATGTGGATTGCTGGTAAGATTTTTTGTTCTAGGATAACATTTACGGTTGTGGGACTAAGAGGGGGATTAGGAAGGATAGGTCCAGTAGTTCTCCTTAATCCCATGCTTTGTTTGATAATTTCAGATTTTCAGCCCACGATTAAGTGAAATGGGCTTCACCTAACTAATACTAACATTTAGGGCTGTTTGGTTTGAGGAGGATAGTTCCAAAGGGCAAAGGAAAGAAAATGCAATGACAAAAATAGGAAGGTTTTAAAAAATAGATAATTTTAGGAAAAACTCATTTGGCACTTGTCAGAAATGCATCACCCAAATGAGTTTCTTGAAAGTTCAAAATGATTTTTTTTTTTTCTCGCTAAAATACAAGAAACGCATGTGGGATACGCGTTTCTCAATCATCACCGTCTCTCGTATTATACGTTATGTTCTTGTATTTTAGCGAAAAAAAATTCATTTTGAATTTTTATGGAACGCATTTAGGAGATGCGTTTCTGACAAGAAACACATGTCCCAAATGAGTTTTTCCCAAAATTGTACATTTTTTAAAACCTTCCCGTTTTTGTCATTGCCATCTAATTTCTTCCTATTTCAGTTATTGACCCTAGGTCCAATACTCCTTAATTCCATCCCTGGTTTGATTTTTTGGCCCCAGGATTAAGTGAAATTGGCTTTACCTTTCAGGCGGGATTAGATAGTCTCAGGTAGGGTGTGGGATTATAATCCCACATTCCCACCACAAAAATCTGAACAGGATTGAAGAAAAATACTCGTTCTCAGGAATAGTGAAATTGGCCTTACCTTTCATGTGGGATTAGATAGTCTCAGGTAGGGGGTGGGATTATAATCCCACCACAAAAATCGAACTTGAATGAAGGAAAAATTTGTTCCCGGGAAAGTTGACTTCTACTAAATAGGGGACTGCTAATTGTAGAATATCATCCCCTTAATGTCAGCCACCCATTGATAATACGAATCATTAACCGCCCGGAGAGTTGTGCATTCTTGGAATCCCAAAATGGGAAAGATTGAGGTGGTTTATTTGAGAAGGAAAAACTACTTAGAGCAACGCGTGTTCTATTTTTTTTTTTTTTAACAACACGCCCAAGGAGATGGCGTTTTTGGTTCCTTTTAACTAAAAATCAAAATTTGTGTATTCTTTTCGTATTTGTATAATAGTGTATAACAATTAAAAAAATTGACATTATTAAGTAATGATTGCAGTAATAATTAGAATAATTGAACTCAATACCAAGTTTTAGATTTTGATTGAACTCAATATATAGATTATTGGTTCAGATATTTTTAGTTATGTTATATCGTAATACAAGTTTGGTCCGGATATCAGATTTTGAAATTTCACATATATTAGAATTCAAAGTAAAAATTATATATATTTATATACATGTTATTCAAATGAATATATCCAAAAAATCCACTACTACAATTATAGGCTTTTACATTAGTTATTCATTTTTACTTTTTACATCGATTATTAAAGTGATGTAAAAAATACCGATGTAATATATAAAATTATAGATGTCGGTTCGCTAACCAACGTCTAAAGTACCATAATTATGTCGGTTATGCCCAAACTAATGTAATTTTTTTTTTTTTAAAATAATAAATACCTTTGACGTCGATTTTATAAAAGAACCGACATCTATACAAGTATACAAGAGTATAGACGTTGGGTTCTCTATTAAACCGACGTCTATACAAGTATACAAGAGTATAGACGTTGGGTTCTCTATTAAACCGGCGTCTATACAAGAGTATAGACGTTGGGTTCTCTATTAAACCGACGTCGTTTAATTTATTAAATTAAATTTAATAACAATATACGTCGTTTAATTTATTCGACTTAAAAAGTAAAAATTATATATATTCCATTTAAAACCAAAAAATACAGAACACGCCTCAGTCCTAGTAGTTTTTCCCTATCTTATACCCCATTCATATCCTTCCTCCAATTGGATCCCGTGCACAGTCAACTCCTCATCGGAGAATGCACCCTTGATAATACTCGGGATCGCTAAACTCCTTTTTTTTCAGAAGTGTATATTCTGCCATAATGGTGTGACTTCATCAAAAGACCCCTTGGTTCTTTAACTTAATTTGAAATTTCCTTTTTCATTTATTTTTTTGAAACTATGTTTGACATTGACATACAATTTGGTTGTATTCCAGGGACCCGGAGCAGGTTGCAATGAATAAACTTGTTGAGGTGGCTTACAAAAAGCTCTTGGTAATTTATAACTTTTAACATTTCCATATGGATGCATGAGCAGTATGAAAAATCATCTCTTCATTTTGACATTCTTTTTTAAAGTGGTTTACTGCTGTCCTTTCTTACATTGCATGAATTTCGTAGGATGAAATATTTTTAACCTTTTGGAATAAACAGGCTACTCGAGGAAGTCTTGCTGCCAAAATCGGGGTTCCTAAGGTGTCGAGACAGGTGGCTTTGGCTTATGCGAGGAGAACACTAGCTAGATGTAGGAAGTTTGAGGAATCAGGAACAAGTTGCTTTAGCGAGCCATCACTTAGGGACATTATTTTTGCCCCCCCTCATCAGATGGTTGAGGCTGAGCTTTTAACAGGTATACTGTCCTTGCAGTTGATAAAAATGAACGCCTTTAATCATGCTAAGACCCTGTCTATTAGGTTTTTTAATCTACGAAAAATGCTGATTTGACTAAGCAGCTCATTTCAGCCAGTCTACTTTCTGCCTTAAACTTCCACCTATTTGGTATTCTGCGTGTGCTATCAGTTACTCTGTATATGCTTTACGTAATGATGACAGGCGACGAAATACTATGAATAACGCAACCAACTATTGTGTTAATTTGTCTTTCAGGGCCCTTCATTGGCAGTGCTGATGGAGATATGGATTCTCGTGATACATCTAATCACCAGTCTGATCAGGCATTTGTTAGAACCGGGCCAATTTCAAACAGAGGAAAGAAAAAAGAAGTATTGCTTGACGATGTCAGTGGCACTGCCTCTCGGGCAACGTCCACTCTGGGTGGTGCAAAAGGCAAAAGAAGCGAGAGAGATCGGGATTCAGCAGCGAGAAATGAAATTCCCAAAGCTGGGCACTTATCGCTGGGCAACTCAAAGGGCGACCGCAAGACCAAAACAAAGCCAAAACAGAAGACAGCTCAGCTGTCTACATCAGGGAATGGAACTTACAACAAGAAGTTTTCAGAACCAGTAATGCCTCTGAATTCTGGAGAATCGGGCAACGCTAATGGAAAGATGAAAATCGAGGGTAATGTTCCTTTAAATTCACCCAGACAGCCCAAGGAATCTGCAGACTTGTCAAATTTGCCATTAAACGACATTGATCAGATAGGACTAGATGATGCACCTGATATCGGTGGAGCTCAGGATTTGAATTCTTGGTTCAACTTTGATGATGATGGCCTACAAGAACACGACGACTGTATTGGCCTTGAAATACCCATGGATGATCTTTCAGAGCTAAACATGTTTTAGTTGTCACTTACCGGTGTACATTCTTGTGCATAATATGAACTGCTAGGGACTGGAGAAAACATTTGATTTCTTGTTTGGACAGAAGTGCTAGCCCTAGCTATATATAATGCCCAATTGGTAAACTGTAATTATGCCCATTCTTTTTGTATACTCTGTTAAAGTCTCAAAAGCAATGCTCACAGAACTCCAAGTTTTGTGTAGTTTAGCCTATAATGAATTTTGAGAACATTTTTTTAGTGAGCAATTTTGCTAAATCTATTTTTTTCCTTTCATGTTTAGTCATCAACTATTGTGTCAATTTCATATTTAATTCTAATCTTTAATCTCTATGTTTTCTATTTTTAGTTCCTCATTTGCATACCATGAACTTATTGTCAATAACTTTGTAACTTCATTCTCTTTGTATATACATTAGTACAATTAAAGTATACTAAAGTATTCTATATCAATATCTTTATGATATATTTATCTTTACTAGAAATGGAAATGGTACTAAGCTATGAAAGATGTGTACTTTGAGCTTCATATTGTGTTCTTTTGACATTTTGTGATTCACTTCTTTTACTTTTCACATTTAGATCTCTCTTGCTCTCTCTCTCATCAGATCCCTCTTCCAAAAAGTTTTCTCAGGGTTCATCAGCAAGGAGAAATGGGGCTCACCTTCACCAAGCTCTTCAGCCGGCTTTTTGCCAAGAAGGAGATGCGTATTCTAATGGTTGGTCTTGATGCAGCTGGTAAGACCACTATTTTGTACAAGATCAAGCTGGACAAGAACATGAGCTTCACAGTTTGGGATGTCGGTGGCCAGGACAAGATCCGCCCATTGTGGAGGCACTATTTCCAGAACACTCAGGGACTTATCCTTGTCGTTGATAGCAATGACAGAGACAGAAGGGACGAGTTGCATATGATGTTGAATGAGGATGAACTTCGTGATGCTGTGCTACTTGTATTTGCTAACAAACAAGATCTTCCGAATGCAATGAATGCTGGTGAGATAACTGATAAGCTTGGTCTCCACTCTCTCAGGCAGCGCCATTGGTACATCCAGAGCACCTGTGCAACCTCTGGAGAGGGTCTTTATGAAGGGCTTGATAACAACATTGCTAACAAGGCATAAAGCAATTCAGAGCTCATGTGTGTTGATATCCTGGATGCAGGCAGGGACTTCTGAAATGGCTTTGTAATACACTGGTTGGATATATATAAACAATGGCTAGCTTCTTATTAACATTGTTGGATTAATGGTCAAAGACTTGAATTAGACGTCTCGCCCTGTTCTCGTTGTCATTGGTTATCAATGTTGTGCTATTCTCAAGTGTTTTGGGATTTATAAGTTTTTTTTGTTAGACAATGTGATTTGTTTATCATTGTTAATTTAAGGGCAAAGTACAATTTTGGTCCGTCAATTATTTGTTAGGTTGAAATGTAAGAATTGTTTTTCAATTAGTTTACGTGTGATTTTCCCATTGTCAAAAAACTACACATTTAGATTTCTTTAATGCTAATGATGATAATCAATGTTATCGTTTTGGTTGATTGTTTAACTATGTAACAAATCTGATATTCTTCTATCAAAATCTGGGATATGTACTTGAGTTGTAAAATTGTTACTAATTGCTTAGTGGTGTACAGAGGCCGGTAAAGGGCTAAGTCTAGTAATTGGTGGCTAGGGTGAAAGTCGTGTCCAACACCCAGCCTCTCAAAAATGTTGTGACAGTATAAGAAAATAAAGTTGCTCTATAGTTTTTGACATAATGGTAAACGTTTATTCTGAAAGTGGTATTAGAGTTAGGTAGCAGGTAAGATTATTCTTTTTGCCATATAAGGGTTAAATAAGCCTCTTCATATAGCAAAAATACAATTACATCATTGAACTGAAAACAACTTGATACAAAATTTGATGTTAAACCATAGCTACCTTGTGGTGAATGGACATCATTTGATCTTTCAAGTGCCAAACCATATCAATGGCTGCCTTTTAGTTCTTCTTCATTCTTTGAAGCATCAAATCTCTGCAATAACCCAACAGGCATTCTAACTACCCCACAGGGGTAGGGAAAAAGCTCGTCTACCTTTCGCAACAAAAATCCAGCGTTTGGAAGATGAAGACCGCGGTTGTATTCTTTCTCGTCAAAAACAGTCCGGTTCAGTGTTTTCTTGTAAGTTGCAGTAGCAGACATTGGATGACCCCTCGCAATCGAAGCCTGCACTAAAGTGCTAGTATGTGTTAACCCATGACCTTATAAACCCATATGTTCTCTCTTATATTTTCAATGTGGGACTCTTAACAGTATGCACATATTATGTTTTCCTAATCTTAATGTTAGCGAGGAAAACGAGATTTTCAAGAGATATTAAGGAAAACACGATATGGACTAACCGAGTGATTCTTCCGCAGTTCAAATAGCCAAAATCTCCAGTCTTTCAGTTCTTTACCATCGACTCTCACAAGTATGTTCTCCCAACTAGTGTGGTGAAATTCGACGTTGTCCAATCTGTGCCCTACACCTTCACCCATGGCTTTTACGAACGCTTCCTTCAAACTCCAGTATCTGCAGTGTGAAGTTCAATGTCAGATGGACCTCTCTCAACTGTGGGCAACAAAACACACGATTCTTCAACTTCTTGTAACCTCATTCAAAATTATTCTAAGAGAGTTATCAATTAAAACCGCATTTTGAGTGATCATACCCCGTATTTACAACTAATATTTGAACTCACAAAACTTGATTAGTTTGGGTATGAGTAAGCCTAAAAGTTTGTGGATTTTAAGAGCATCATACCTATAAAACTCTCCTAACATTTGATCGTCAGAGCCTGCATTTAAAATTGCGTTCCATTCAAATCTCGAGAAGTACGATGAGAAGCTTTGAATGAATTCTCTAACTGATTCTTTCTCGGGGATGTAATGATCAACAATATCCAGCCCAACGAGGCATATTGGTTCAGAAGCTATTGCCACATAATCACCTTGATGAGAAGCATTGAAGTTAAAGTTCGGAAAATCCAAGACCGTACTGCCATATACCTACAAAAGATTGATGCAAAAGCAATACTATTAGATTCGTCAAGATAGCTCTGCGTTGCAAAAAGTTAAGAGCTAAGCCACAATTAAAATCAAAATAATAGTTCGTGTAATATCGATCTAAGGTCAATTGAGAAGGCAGACCATAGAAATAGGGAGGAAAAACAATAAGTGTAGGATAATGAGCATTTGCATACCAAGCAAGAGTTAAAAATTAAAGAGCATAATGGAAGTCATTGTGACTAAAATGGCCTTAGCACAACTGAGCACAATCTAGCCATACCAGATACGGTTTCCCCTCAACAGTGCGCCTAATACATATCTCATTGTACGGGATTCCCAATACTTGATGTACCAAAGCATACTGCAACAATCTGCTCACCAGAGCTCGTTTCCTATCTTCAATTTTGACAAATCTAATAATATAAAGCATTAGTTAAGTCCACAATTTAAATCCATTTGAAGAGATTTGATTGATATCTTAGGCATCTATGTAAAATTTAAGCAGCATCCATATCAAAATTGAGTTGCTGATTCACTCTATTGCACATCAACAATCAGATATCCTCTGCCCATTATTATAATCAATCAACAATCTGATAACTATACTCTGGTCCAACTTCTTTATAGATCATTTGCTTAATCAAGCTAAAAAGTATATCCATAGCCTATAATATTCGCTAAACATGTAAAAAGTAGATTGTGCAGTAACTCATAATAATTTGATCAAAATCAAGAATTAGACAAACCCAAATACACAAAGAAACCTTACTTTGATTTATGGGAAACTTGTAGCACTACCCGAAGGTGGGCTCTGGGTAAAGCCTGCCCTAGACCCTAACCGACAAAAGACTGAGGTAAACCAACCTAGGACGCTCATAGCTGATCGACTTAAACAAAGAAAGCCAATAGACAAATTCTCGGGGACTGAAACTTGAAACATTATGACTATCAAGTCAATTGTCCAACTAACTTGGATCGGGTTTCCAACCCAAAGAAACCTTACTTTGATTTATGGGAAACCCGTAGCTGCTACCCGAAGGTGGGCTCTGGGTAAAGCCTGCCCTATGACCCTAGCCGACTAGCTGACAAAAGACTGAGGTACACCAACCTAGGACGCTCATAGCTGATCGACTTAAACAAAGAAAGTCAATAGACAAATTCACGGGGACTCAAACTTGAAACATTATGACTATCAAGTCAATCGTCCAACTAACTTGGATCGGGTTTCCCACCCAAAGAAACCTTACTTTGATTTATGGGAAACCCGTAGCCGCTACCCAAAGGTGGGCTCTGGGTAAAGCCCACCCTATGACCCTAGCCGACTAGCCAATAAAAGACTGAGGTACACCAACCTAGGACGCTCATAGCTGATCGACTTAAACAAAGAAAACCAATAGACAAATCCACCTCAGAACCTAAAACATTATGACTATCAAGTCAATTGTCCAACTAACTTGCATCGGGTTGCCCCCACAAAGAAACCTTACTATGGAGTATGAAAGGGGTTATTTATGTCAGCCTCATAGTAAGCAGCAGGCAATCAATGAGGCAGAGTGGCAGACATAATAGCCAATACTGCTCACCTCAAATTCAAAGAATTCCAACATAAACAACATACCCTAAACTTGTAATCATAATCTATATGCTAACTAAAAAAATCAAGAAAGGCAATCAAAACACCATATATCTATGCATATCAGCCTACTCTTTATTTCTGCATATACTTGTTATATATGAGTGGTTATTAGCAAAAAAGCATATAAATTTAGCATAAAACAATGAAATAGAGAAAGTTGCAGGAGACCTAGTGATGGAGGAATGTTGATGGTTGGGAAGAAAGGACATGGCAAAGGAAAAGCCATGGGGTGTTGGGTCCCACTCCGAGATGTCAACTACCCATCTCTGAACACCGTTTTCCAATTCCATTCCCTCTCTCTCTCTCTCTCTCAATTTAAAGTTCAATTTTTTGTTGTGTCTTTTGTTCTGTGTTTCTCATGACTCATGAGGGACATTTAATTCTGTTCTTGTTGCCGACCCAAATTAAGTTGTTTTTTGTGATCCGTTACTCTACATTTTCTATAATACAAAGCAGTATGATAAAATTTTTAATTTTTTTTTGACTAAAATAGGAAGAAAATAAAAATTTTAAACTCTAGAAAACGAGTATCTGTTTTTGCCTATTTGGTGTTGACCCTTGACAGTTTTTATCAAAAGATTTTTTTTTTTTTTTTTTTTTTTTTTTTTTTTTTATCATTTTGAAGTAGTTTTTTTTTTTAATTTTTTTTTTTAAAACTTATACTCCAAACATACTAGTCGAAATGTGTTTGACAATTTTTTTGGCAAACGTTAAATGTATTTGATAAAAAAAATTTATTTGAATCGTGACTAACTCAAATCGTGTCAATAAAATTGATTGACATGATTTGCATCACTAATTTGTTTGACAAAAGTTTAAAAAATTATTGAGTTAATTACAAAAATGGTTCATTGACTATAACAAAATTATTAATTTGATTCTTGACTATTTTTTTAACCAATTAAGTCCCTCAACTTTAAAATTTTTAACCAATTTGGTCCTCCATTTGTTCGACCGTTAGTCAATCGTTAACTTGAGACCAAATTAGTAATTTCGCTATAGTCAAGTGATCATTTTGGTAATTAACTTTAGGGGAGGGCAATACGATTTTGTTTTCTCGAATCGAACCGAACCGAACTAGTTTGGTTTGGTAATATACCGAACAACCGAACGGTATTGAATTCTTGTATACCGAATGGTTCGATAAAAAATCGATCTGAGCCCATCTGAATTGTTCGGTAAAAAATTGAACTGAATCGAATTCCGTTTGATTTTTTTTTAAAAAAATATAATAATAATAATAATAATAATAAATAAATAAATAAATAAATAAATAAAAAGTAAATCCAAGTCCATTGTTGATTGCTCTGCCGTTCAGCTCATATTCTCACGGGTATCTCTCGTAAATGTTTTATTTGATTTCTTTATGGTTTGTTATCAAAAGTTCTATATTATGTGTTATGGTGTTTACATAGTCCATATCCAAAGTCTAATATATAACAAAATAGCAATCCAAAGTTCAAACGGTATACGGTTCGGTTCGGTTTTTACCGAACAATGCAGTTAGGTTAGAGTTTTTACCGAACCGTTCGGTATACAAGAATCTATTACCGTTCGGTTGTTCGGTATATTACCGAATCTAACTAGTTTGGTATGGTTCGGTTCGAGAAAACTGAATCGAATTGCCCACCCTTAAAGTTAATTACCAAAATGGTCCCTTGACTATAGCGAATTACCAATTTGGTCCGAAGTTAACGGTTGACTAATGGTCAAACAAACGGAGGACCAAATTGGTTAAGATTTTTAAAGTTGATGGACTTAATTGGTCAAAAAATATAGTTAAGGACCAAATTGTTAATTTCGCTATAGTCAAGGGACCATCGGTAATTAACTCAAAAATTATTTGACTATAGACTGACACTGAATCAGTAAAATGAAAAATAAAAATAAAATAAAATTTTTGGAAGATTAAATCACCTATTGCCGAGGGAACACTGAACTTTAATTTGGCCTTCGTATGCAACAAGAAATAGAGAAAAAACTGTTCAAAAAAAAAGAAATGGAGAAAAAACGAATTAAACGTTGTTGGATTTAGTGAGGCCAAGAGTAGCCACTAGCTAGAGCTACCTTGAGAAACACTTAGACATTACGTTTATAAGGTGAGAGCCAAGTATCCTAACCAACTAGACTAGAACGAATTTACTTGTGTTTTTTTGACCCACTTTATTTTGTTCCTTGCTTCCTTGGCCTGAAGCTGAATACCCAAAATATATCTACGCGTACAAATAAGCCAAATGCATTTTCCCGACAACTAAAAAAAAAGGAAAAAATGGTCGAATCGGTCACCGAAGTCAAACAATAGTGCAATTGAGTCCTTAAGTTAAAAAAGTTCCATTTAAATCTCCTAAACCAATTAAAATATTTAATTGAGTCCTAAATTACCTGTTTGGTATGTTGGTGCTTTCTAATGTTGACACATGTCTCATTTTTTAATTATTTTTTTTTCTAAAAATACATTTTGTTTTGTTTTGTTTTTTTTTTGTTTGTTTTAATTTAAAATTTTTGAAATATATATTTTTATTATTAATCCATATCTGGCTGCCGCCCAAGGTCGTTTTATCTTCCTCTTGTTGGTGCTTCTTGTGGGTTGCTCTAGCTGCCTTCTCTTACTTTTTGGTTTGTTCTTCGTCTTTTTTCTTTGGCGGCAACACTGATATATGATGTTGGTCTCGGTGGGGTTAGGTTAAAATTCTGGGGGGGGGGGGTGGGGGTGGGGGAGTGAATAGGATTATATAGATTTAAAAACTTTTGCGGTTCGTTAAATTACCTGAGATGTAACCTTAATGTTTCGAGAGTATGCAAAATGGAAATTATATAATATAAACACTTTTTAATCTTATTAGCACGAAAGTTTGTTCTTGAGAATATTAAGTTTGTTGTGATAATATGCAATGAAAGCACTAAGTATATAATGTAAGAGAGAGAGAAGAATTTTATAGTGGTTCAGCCTACACAGTCTACTCTACTCTTCTTCTTGAAACTCTTAGAAGGATTGCACTATCCCTTAGTACAATATTGGACGTTCAAGCTTTGAACACCAAGCCAGCCTTGAACTCCACCAAGTTTTTCGACTATAACTAATCCCACCTCCGTCTCTTTCTACTACTACCAAGTAGAGAATAAATGAGATGTGGTTCATCGATTGGTTGCGATCAATCTCCTTGTGCTGTGGTACAAACAGGGTACTTCGGGGCTGTGTCAGAGCTATATGCGCTGACCCTCATGTATGGGCATGCGATTGGTCCTACGGCACCACCAAATGTGTTTACGTGTTTGAAATAGTGATTGAATACTGTTATGATTGATATGGAATAGTCTTGTGACCTTAGGGTGCATGCTAGTATCTTTATATGCGTAATTAATTCTGTTGAATGTGCCTACCCTTGCTTGATTGAGTCTATTCTCGGTTTTAAATTAGAGTTTCATAAGTATATATGTATTCCGGCTTCAAAATGGTTTTCCTTATATATATCTACCTATATTGTATTTAACGCGTTGGAGTGGGTTACCAGCATTATTCGCTGAACAGATATATTTGGCTTTCAGGCACAGATGAGTAGCTCCGGAGCGCGCTAGTTGGACCCGTGGGCTTAGCTAGTTTTGTTCTTTTAGCGGCCTGCGTGCCATGATGATGTACTTGAGTTTGGGATTTAATGATAGTTTAGCCTGTGTATCTGAGTTCTCCAGCTCAGATGTGGCATAGCACCCCAATAATTATGTTTAGTTATGCTCTGTTTGGGATTTAATGATAGAATTGCCTTTATTTCATAAGCATTAAAAGTTTTAAAATTTAGGGGTGTTACATAGATACTTTGGAGGGAAGATTGAAGATCTAGAGTTTCTATAGCTTGGGTTTTTCACTTCTCACCACCATTTGAAGGGATCTAGCTTGGATTTGGGTAAAATTTACTTTTGTTCTTCATCAAATAATATCTTGTTTTACCCATTTTGATATTGCTTGATCTTGGTCTTTGTAATGTTTGGCTAAAATTCTAGTAGTGGATTGGATCTCATTTATTTGTGCTAAATATGTATTGATTCATTTGTTTGGCTTTGTGTTGATGTCTTGTTGTAAAGAGACTTTGTATGGACTCTTGTGTATGGTGTACAACATATGCTTGAGGTTTGAGTAGGATTAGGTCGACAAGAGATTGTGGCTTAATCCTAGACTTGTCTCCTTGCATTTCCTGCCCTCAGATCCGAGAGGATAAGGCCTGGAATGAGCTGTAGACAAAGTGTTTTTTGAAATGCTCATAAGGAACGTGGTCACGAAACGGTGGTTCCACACCTATGAAAGACCTAATAACCGAGCGGTGAACGCATTGGAAGTCATCTCACATGATTAGATCAACACTAGCCTAGATTCACCTCACACGCACAAAGGAATGAGAATGCCGATCCACTACGCTTTCTATTTTATAGTTTCTTTTATTTCTTTTCTTATTTCTTTTGCTACGCTTTTTCCTTACACTCTCTTGAACACATGCTCGAACCTACGCTCCTTGTACCTAGTTTATCTCTCGTTAATGCACTGTGATACGTGATTGTCTTGCACTCTTTTTACTCCGACTTGCCAACCTTGAGTACGACACTCGGGGTAGTTCTCACTCCCCGTTTTAACTCTTTCTACCTCTTCCCATACACGACCCATGCAAATCGAATCTTTTGACAACGCTATCTAAAATGAGAATCGTAAACGAAAAGCATCTCGGTCAGTGATCCTAGTTGTTCTTAGTTTACTTGGAGGGGTCACCATATTTCCCTCGATCTTCCTCTTATTCGATTCTGGGCTTCTCCGAGGAATGTGTTACAATTGATAGAATTCGGCTGCTTTGGTGCAGGCTTCCTTAAGAGTCTTTGGCTTGCTCACGGTCAAGGCTTTTCTATCCTCAAAGTTGAGCCCAACGACAAATTTCTTTACTTTAGTTGCCTCCGTAGGGACCAACACGTGTGCGAAATGAGCCAGTTCTAGGAATCTCTTGTGGTATTCTACCACTGTAGTGACTCCCCTTTTCAAGTGAAGGAACTCCTCGTACATAGTCATTCTCATGTGCGAGGGATAGAAGCGTTCCGGAAGCTTAGCCTTGATCCCCTTCATTTCCCCGTCTTCGATCCGAGAAGGCAAAACCCGGAAAGAAGTGAGGGCAAAGTGTTTGTTTAAATACCCCATAGAGAGCAAGAGTTCCTACGGGCGGCGTTAGACCGTTTCGGATTATGCACTAGTGTAACACCCCGTGTTACGACCTTCAATCCCGGATTAATTATTTAATTAATCCCGTTAATAATAATTAAATATGATTTAATTCGGTTAGGTTTCCTTTAATTAATTAATAAGGTCCACCATGAACCGTGGAACCTTGCCTAAATTAGAGTCTTAAACCTATTAGGAATAAAGAAAGTAAACCCTTTACTATTCAGATTCTAATTAGGAATTCTAGACCTA